GGGAGGGGGAGGGGGTGGGCGGAAGTGGTGGTGGGATGGGGGGTGGGGCGCGCGCAGCGCGCCGTGCCAAAAACACTTGCGACTTACGTGTTTAATCAACTTTACCGCGGGAAGGAAGAATTATTCTTCGGCGGAGTTAGGAAATATATTTATTATTTGTATCCTTTCTCAGCCTGTATCTCCGAAACTATTTGAGTCCGACCCTTATATATATATATATGAAATTACTCGGGAAGACATCCCCAACAACATATTTAAAAATCAAGCGAATCGGAGAGGAAGTCGCTTTTATGCACAATTACCATTTTTTCTGTGGGTGCAGTAATGCCTGTTTACCTCAATGCCCTCAGTTGTTTACCCCTCGGTGAAAAGCATTAAATGGGAGATAATTGCGACAAACATCGCATTTTTATATGAACAAAAAGCACTTTGCAAAATCAATTTCTATAGCACATTAGTAATAAAATAATAACTAATTTACTGAATACAGAAACGTGTATTGGGAATAATACGTACGTTATTAATTCTTGTTATTACTCGATAACAATGTCTTCCATAATAATTCTTATTAATTATTTCACAAAAAATAAGAATCGTTCGACGTTCCTTTTTTTCAGAGAGAAATGTATGCCAGTTTGGTAATCTAAGAATGCAAATTGGCGACTCGCTGGAGCAACTTGATTCCGACTGCGTTAAGTGCACTTGCGAAGTACCGCCCGTTCCGACGTGTAAAATGTGGTCGGACAGTAGACATTGTTATAGCAAAAATAATTTTCCACAAGAATGAATATATTCCTCCTCTAGAGGAGGAATATAAATAGTATATAAGAGTTTGTGCACAAACATTCGTTCGATGTTTCTGAACTCTAAGATATTATTATATAATTACTTTTGTCACCCAAAACTTTGTTATGCGTTCTTACTTGAATATTTGTATATATAAGAACATATATTATAGTAATAATTGACTTTATAGATAGAAGTTTAGACAGAAAACTTGTTGATTATTAATATTCATTATACCATTAACGTCAACCATACGGGAAAGTTTCTTTATCGAATCAAGCTATACAGCAACGTAACATATTACTAAGATCTTTTGTATCGCCGAAAATGCAATTGTACGCCACGTGAAATTAATAATCTTGTCGTCTCGCGATAAATAAATTTATAATAATTATTATCAACAAATTTTCTATGAGGTAAATTAAAATAAGGTTACCGTATACGACGTCAGAACATTTGCTAGTTTTCTAGTACTTTTGTTTTGTAGTAAGATGAAATAATAATTGATTTTCAGAGAAAGCATTCTCACAATGCAGTTTATTTTAAATCATTACGACTCTTCTCAGCAAAGATAGCAATTCAAATAAACGATAATTTTTTATCTTAAAAATGGAGAATAATTCTTTTCCCCGAAATATTACTTTCCTATTTAATAATTGACGATACCAAGCAAATTACAAGTTTATTCCAGATCGATAAATCTGCTCTCCCGTCAGTAAAGTTTATTCTTATTCACGCATATTTCCCGCCGCGTTTTCGTCACATACGATGAGTGACGGTAACTGACCTTTGTTATCCGCGATATAAAACAAGTTGCGTAATTTCACGAAAATAATTTTGAATATCGCGATCGATCGCGTTACAAGGAGAACGAGTCATAATGGGGAAAATGTAACCTTGCAAAAATCGTGATAATCGAGAATTTATAGATAGTTTGACCAACTCTATACGTAAATATAAATTAAGATTTCAAAATTTTACTTAGAAACGCCTGAAAGGTCAAAGTATCTTTTTACTGTCTTTATATTAGTTTAACGTTTACGAAGCTAAATATTTGTAACGTTCACTGTGTTTACCTGCTGACTCGACTCTCATATTTATTTTTATATTTCTTACATATGTTCCTTCGTACTCTCGCATCCTTCAGTAAATCAGTAGACTCTATAACGTTCGTAAGGTAAGATGAATATTAGAGTCGTCAACGCATTTATGCGTGCCCGATCATGGGAGGAACACGCGTTTGTTCTCAAGTGTACGTCTACGCGACGTTCGCCATCATCACCGTGGTTTTGGTAAATCGTAAGGAAAAACCACTATATCATTTTCTCATCGCTTCAGTCGTAATGTTTCAACTGTTTTAGAATATAACAATAATGTATTGGAGCGCTAACATTTCCTTGATATTTTCTTTTTCGTAAAGACGGCGGTGTAACGAGCTGCCCGGGTCCGTTGAAGTATTACGAGGATCTCGGGTGCACGCCGGTGTACTCGTACAGGAAGTACAAGAGCCGTAAATATATGTAGATTAGTTACTTAAGATTTCAAAACTACAAATTTTACTTAGAAACGCCTGAAAGATCGAGGTATCTTTTTACTGTCTTTATATTAGTTTAACGTTTACGAAGCTAAATATTTGTAACGTTCCTTGTGTTTCTGTTTCCCCGCTGACTCGACTCTCATATATATTTTTATATTTCTTACATATGTTCCTTTGTGTCCTCGCATCCCTCGGCAAATCAGTGGCCTCTAAAACGTTCGTAAGATAAGGGGAATAACAGAGTCGACAACGCATTTGCGCCTGGTCAATCATGGAAGAAACACGCGTTTATCCTCGAGTGTACCGCTTTTTCCTTAGCATACAATGAGTGACGCTGACTGGCCTTTGGGATCCGCGATGTAAAACAAGCTGTGCAATTTTACAAAAAGAATTTAGGATATCGCGATCTATCGTATTAAAAGGAGAACGAGTCATTATGGTGTCACGGATAAACGAAATTCTTACAATTTCCTAAAATTTTCCTTCGAATGCTCGCATAGAACGTTCTGTTTATCTACAAATAAAGTTCCAGCAAGGAAACCATGGCAAGAGACACGTAGTCTACAGATTAAATTCCAACAGAGTAACGTGGCCAATGGACACATAATTCCGGACCCAGATATCACAAACTTCTGGAAAAAACCTTCTCCCTTCTACTAAGATAAGTCCCGAATGTGAGTCGAGCAGGGGAGGTTCCTGTCATTTTTTCGGGTATATATAGAGGAGCGAAAAGCGTCACAGTTTTCACTCGTAGCTTTTACTCGCAGCAACTGATTCACCGTCATTCTTACGTGTTATCTCCACACTCAGCCGCCTACTCACAGTTACTTATTCTCTTGCGCATAACCAGAACACGGAGTTTTAGTTCCGACATTCAAACGACAGTATTTTTGGGTCAAATACTTAGGCTTTCACGACTATCATGTAACATAAAAGGATACGAATAAAAAGGTAAAACAATATACCGAATCTTCCATATATTAATACTCCCCCCTTCGTGATCTCATCTCTCTCAAAGAATAACCATCACAAGTTCCCTCCTATCAAAACGCGAACATTTCAGATTATCGCCGCGGAATTACGAATCGGGCTATCTTTCCGGCCAAGAATAAAATCTATTATCTCTAGTATTTTTGCCCTTATTTAGTTTTCACACAGTCTAGTTCGATCCCCGGTGAAGCACTTGAATGCTCAAGGGAAAAAAAGACAGCTACGCATTTTAGCGCCCACGATTGGCGATCGAATTATTTGGATTGTTCGTAGCATTCTACTCTGGGAAAAATTGTAACCGTTTTTTTTGTAGTCAAGCAACTTAACATTTCGGTTAGTGCCTCTTAAGTGAAAATAATCTTTGCGTTACTGAAGATCGACAGAACGAATTGAGAGAATTGAATAGTATTACTTAAAAATCTTGGATATATAGGTAGAATAGCTAATTGCGATTTTTAGTTACGCGGGGTAAAATTCATAAAAGACTGGAGTTACGCACAATCCAAATAATTCGATTACTAATTGTGGGCCTCAAAATGGGTTGCTGTCTTTGTTTTCCCCGAGTGTGCTGACCGAAAACGGACATAACTACTCTTGTCAAATCGTGACAATGGAGGAAATGTGACATTGCGAAAATCGTGACAATCAAGAATTTATATGTAGCTTGATCAACTCTATATGTAAATATAGATTAGTTCAGATTTTTTAACTACAAATTTAAGTTGGAAACGGAAAGATCGAGATATCTTTCAAATGTCTTTACATTGGTTTAACGTTTACAGAACTAAGTATTCGTGACGTCCTTTGTACTTCTTTTTCCTTACTAACTCGTCTATCAAGCTTACTTTTACATTTATTAGATATATTCTCCCGCATCCCTCTCCAAATTGATCGTTTTATAACGTAAGTAAGGTAAGATGAATATTACAGTCGACAACGCATTTGCGCGTGATCAAACATGGGTGAAACACGCGTTTGTCCTCGAGTGTACGTCTACGCGGCATTCGCCATCATCGCCGTGGTTTTGGTAAATCGTAAGGAAAAACCAATATCTCATTTTCTCATCGCTTTTGTCGTAACGTTTTAACTGTTCTCGAATATAACAATCTAAAATTAGTCAGATATTACCGAGAAATAAATCGCTGACCAAAATTATGTACATTGTACACCAATGCCTACTAATATCTAGTGGACATTACTTTATCATATTATCTTATTTTATCTTCTTTCTTTTGTTTTATCCTATCTTAACTTTATATAATGCTCCAACAAGGTCTGATACCTTAATTAACGCACAAAAAATGCCTAGCAATGGCCAGTAATGCCCAGTAAAACCGCAAATCTGTACATCACAATGCCTTCAGCGGTTTACCCCACCCCTGTGAAGTTAGCCCCCCATTATTTAAAAATTTAACTTTTTTTACAAGTTCCCTGAGAGTTCCCGGTAGCCCCCGCAGAGTTCTATCGAAAATCCTAATGGCAAAATTCCATTACATTAATACTTTTATAGTTATGCCTATTTCTGGGGTACTGTTTCTTGATTCAACTTCGTTTTTTTTACTTTCTCGTGCAGAACTATTGTTAAAATGTATCAAGAACTCTAGAACTATGCGAAATCTATCCAGAACTCCATTAAAAAATTAGTTTTTACGAAAATGGGGGGCTGCGTGAAGTTAGCCCCCCATTTAAAAAAATTCATTTTAACGTCTTTAATGGGCAGAACTATTTCTTAAACCCATCAAGAACTCTGGAACTATTGTAAATCTATAGGGAACTCGTAAAAAAAGTTAAAGTTTTAAATAATGGGGGGCTAACTTCACAGGGGTGTTTACCCCTCGGATATTATGTAATATTGATGGATTTAAAACCGTCGTAATTCATTTTTTTTATTGTCGGAGCATATTCCACGATAATGTATCCGAACGCTAACATTTCTTTGATATTTTCCTTTTCGTAAAGACGGCGGTGGAACGAGCTGCCCGGGTCCGTTGAAGTATTACGAGGACCTCGGGTGCACGCCGGAGTATAAAACTGCCGGGGACCGTTGCCCGGTAAGATACAACTGTAGCCATATGCAGACGAGAGTTCCGAACAAATGTTACATCAATGGTCACGAGTACGAGCTAAACGAAACACTTAAACCGATGGATGCAAATGTTTGCGACAACATGTGTACTTGCAAATATCCGATCGGAAAACCTGGAATGTAAGTGTGACTCCAATATAAATGAGTTGAATTATTTTAAAATAAATTGGATATGTTATGGGTGTATCTATTGTAGAAAACAGTGTGCGAACGTATATGTTTACTTCGTATAATTTGACACAAAGCGAGACGGTCGTCGCAACTTTATAGACTTTTTGTAGACCGCTAAAATAAAATAAACGGAAAAAAGGATGTACATGTAATGTAACGAAAGTCCGACAGACTCGTGCTTGTGTAAATCGCGAACCAACGCCGGCAACTAGTGGCTTTCAATACAGGCAACATGAAGAAATCTCCACGATATTTTTTATATTAAAAATTTAGGTTTTAATGTTAAGATCACTCTTTTACAAATGTTATTTTCATGCTATTTGAAGTATTATACCTGTAACGGATATGTGAACATAACTCACGTATGGTAAGGAATTCGTTTACTTTGATGTAAAATTTTTTGCGCGACTTTTTCTTATTTTTAATGGTTGCTAGACGGATTTCTGATTCAACTTATTTAGATGCTACGTAGATTTTTAAATTACTCATTTATGAAGAGTCATTGCACAATGCAAAATCTCTATATAGCTAGTGTGCATTGCGATGTAACAGTATTTGATGTCAAATGAAGATATTAAATGTTTATCGTGTCATATTATTTCTAATGTAACTATAAGATATAGCTGAATTTAACCGCGAGATATAGTTAAATTATAGAAAATAGAAAGTCAAAATTAAATTTTTGTAAACTGTTCAACTTTTCCGTACAGCGCTGCATTTGAGTGCACTGATATTAAATCTGTATGTCCGACGGAACATGTAAGAAAAGGCTGCTATCTAATGCACGACCTGTCAAAATGTTGCGGAGATCCAACGCAAATTTGTCGTGAGTAATAATTTTTAATCAAAATTACACACATTATTTACGACACTTATAGTCAAGTACGTCAAAATTATCCGCACCGAAAGGTACTCACAAAAGTATGTTATCAGTTGTAATATTTATATTATTATTTATCATAAATATATTCTAATGATACTCTGATACTTAGAAAAATTTTATATAAATAATTATTTAAGAAATTACATGTCCATATAAACCTGCTCGATGTGATTAAATGAAACTGTGACGAGAATCAATTGAGACTCCTAGGCCCGGCTTTTCATTTTCTAGTCAATTGTTAACCAGAGGTTAGTCGACTCTCTGTCTCTTCTCAGATAATAACGTAGAAAAAGACGGAGAGTCGACTAACTTCCGGTTAACCGTTAACCAGAAAATGAAAAACCTGACCCGAGAAACAAAAGTGTAAGTATTTTCTTACGTTTAGCTGAAAAGCCGGAAGACAGAGGTACTTGTGTCGTAGACGGTAAAGAATATAAATATGGCGAATATTTCCGGGTGAAATCAGATCATAGACTGAATTGCGTCTGCAAACCGGGATATGAAGGTACTGATAATGTTAATTATTAGCATGCGATAAATTATACGTCTCACGTGTAATTCTCAAAGTTTCTTACATACGTGTAACTGTTACGTTTCTAACTAAAAAAAAATTTTTTTTGTATTTAGGTAGAAATGTTCCGCCCTTCTGCGAAAGGGCTAATCACTCAATCTGCGATCATCCTGCATTCAGTCACAAGCAACATTTTTATCAGAAATGTGCTCCTGTTTTTGCGAGCGAGCATGCGGATCCAGACAGATGTATTTTGCGCATGAGATGCAGTGAGTTTGCGAGAGCTAGTTTAAATACTGTAGACACAATTTGTCGCCGTCTAATTCGTTCGGTAACATCTATTGAATTTTCCAGGGAACCCTAATGACAGAGTTGTCCGTAACAATTTCGAAAATTTGGGTGTGGATGAGTTTGACGGTACGCTTCAATTTATTTTTAAATGTTCATTTATTTTGTAATATCATTTGCGCGAGATACTAAGTTTCAGAAAAATATTTCTGCGTTAAGTGTGCATTAAGAAATACCTGCCTGGTATACTGAACATAGAAACGATATATTAAATTTTGTTATACAGGGTGAGTCTTTCCATATCCGACAAAATTTTTGAGAAGGTAGAACGGATCGAGATGAATGAAAAAGTCCTGTACCATTTTGCAATTTTCGTAATAGTTAACGAGTAATTAATTATGAAAAATCGTTGTCTTAGGTCGGCCTACCGCCCAATTCGAGCGCGTGGCGAGATGTGCGCATAGCAATATCGATCGCCGGGCGGTCACATCTTGCCACGCGCTCGAATTAGGCGGTAGGCCGGCCTAAGACAACGATTTTTAATAATTAATTACTCGTTAACTATTACCAAAATTGCAAAA